AAATTTTTGGCATGGTTTACCAAATAACGCAATTCACAGTACACTTAATTTAGGAATGTTTGCTCATTGGTTTTTATATCAATTTAAAAAAAGGAGTTGATGAACTTCCAAATCATAAATGATGGCTTTTTGTCAATTATAAAATATTATGAATTTGCAACCTTTTTATTCTAGTACTCAAGGAACTGCCAGCTATTTAAAACTGTACCTTTATCAATATTCACAAAGTTTAACAAAAATAAATACAATTTTGAGGTTGTCTTTGGCATGTCGTAATTCAAGGCAATAGTATCTTTTAGCAGCACAGTGCAAAGAAAAACAACATACCATACAATGCACTACTGGATTCAGCCTTACAAGAAGAAGAGAACGTAGTACAATGCAAACTTTAATGTCAATATATACAGAGCTTTAAAGAAAACATTTTTTAAAATTAAATGAAATAAATACAATATGATACAAAATCCACAATATGCTTAGAGAAAGAAATGACAGTTACAATATCTGATAACGGGGACCTTTTGTATAGTTTCATCTTTGAAGTATCTCAGAGAGCATGTAATTCATTGCACACTATTTTCAATTAATGCCCTTTCGTATATTGAGATTTATAGCCAGTCACGTGCCAGAAGAGTTTTAGCTCTAATCAGAGTATCAGTGCAAGATGCCAAAGTGCTTGGGATATCATGACAATGCAATTACTTAGCAAACGCTGCTCATAAGCCTAATGCAAAACACACAAAATAAGAACACTTTGTCCTGCAAAGGAGATCCACTTCAAGCATCTTTTCAGTTCTCACATAAAAAAAGACCCAAAACAGGATTCAAAGTTATCCAAACTCACTATTGGTAATAAGCTATTGCCCAAATCTTGAGAGATATAATCAATTAAATATCTTTCAAAACTTTCAAAGAAAGTTTGCTTTCATTACATAGGAAAAAAAATCTCAAGAAAACCAGTCACTGATTATTTTGGGAGGGGCTTCTAATTATGTAAGTTAGTTATTATAAAACTCAAGTTAGCTTTAGCTATGCACTAAATGTGGGGGTTTCTAATATTTGTACTCATTCATCTGTTCCCAAACAAAAATGCAGGTTTATCAACAATAACGTAACTTGGGGTAATAAACATTTAAAAAATACACTAAAGTAGGGTCAAACCATATTCAGAATGTACTTAACTGAGGAGGTGTTAATGCAGAAGGATGGTATGGTGTGAATGACAGCCTAGGCGTGTTACCAACAGGTATCAATACACACCCCAGAGGGTTTTTGAATAAACTTTCAAATAGAACTTTTTTTTTTTTTTAATCATATAGAGCTCCCATAGGACTACATAAGGACTCTATTATCACGGCTTCAGAAGCCTTCTGAAAACTTTGAGGAAGAAAAACCTGCTCCTCCCTTCCCTCCCACAAATATTTGCAAACTTCTAATTCTGGATAGGACTGAAAAACTTAAGTGCTACAGAAGTACGTAAAACCCCATGTTTGCATTGACGTTTTAGCTTAATTTCACAAATACAAATCAGGATAATTACTACAAAATTGTGTAATTCATTTAACTCAATTCTTACAAGTTATCTCAACTTTTTAACTGTAACATCTGAGGGCAGAGCACCGAGTATTGGATGCAGCAATCTGTCACTGCAAATGACCAGTTTGTAATTATATGGCAAGTAACTTCCAATCGCTAAGTTTGCTAGAGGTAATTTTAACTATTGGACATATTAAGATTAGCTTTGGAAAATGAAATAAAACATGGAAGACAGAATTCAAGCTCGATATGACTGAGTTGGGTGAGGTTTTGGATGCCTTCTCTTGATGCAAGGAGAACATTTAAACCATACAACAAACAACATAGGCCTCAGCTGCACAACACGCTTAGGCCACCTACACCTTAGGCTCTTTGCATGGTCAAAGAGAATTTACAAGTTTTAAGCATAATGGAAAAAAACACACAACATGCTAACAATGGTATTGAGACTAACACAAGCCACAAAACAGTGGCTTAAATGAATCCACCCATGGTAATGCTCTCAGGTACGGGCACTCTTCATTGTGCACCACTGGCTGACACTGATGCATAGTTTTTTGGATATATTAACAGGAATACAACAGAGTTCCTCACTTTTTATCAGAAGGATAACTGAAGACAGAAATTGCGATATCAAAGGGGTGAAAGAACAGCAAAACACGTCAGGAGTGCTCCAGCTATAGCTGATGTCTGTGGGAATCTACTCTCTTTACTGAGAATATATCAGGCTCTATGTGCACTTGAGAACTAGCACTTATTTATAATTGCCATTACCAAACATCAGAGTAGAAGCTATTTTGCTGGCAGCTACAGAAGCCATATCCAAAATACTCTATCATTTAAGATATTAACTAGTTCTCCAGAAATTCCTCTAACTACATAGTATGTATGCTTACTTCTTTGTAATTATAAGCCTGTCATAATTTCACTCTTACTTTTTTTTTTTTTTAAGAGTAAATCAAAGATTGTAACTAGTTTGTAATTTGGAACTGTGCAGAGATGATATGAATGTGAAACAATTTACACTAACCTTTCAGTCCAGCCAAGAGCACGTTCAAACTAAGCGTTCTTCCATTTCAAATATTTAACTGGTTACTCATGAGCAGACCATGCTGCCTTTACACAATTGCTTAACTGAACAAAACCTGTTTGGCAAAGAAGGATGAGAAGTATGCAAGGAATTCTAAAACAAGTACCACAAAGATGATCATTAAACTGCAAGTGAAATCTTTTGTATCCCTGCATATCCAAAAAAGTTTCAAAGACTGATATGCTAAAATATTCATAACAAGTGAACTTCCCCTCCCAATTAATGATTAAAATTGGCACACCAGGGTACACTGGCAGCCTATCAGATATAACGAAGGGTTTTGTTCATATGTTTTCCTTGTGATAATAAAACTTTGTAATGTCCCAGTCACTAAAACCTTGCTTTTACCCTAGAAGTACCACTTGCACTAGAGGCTTGTAACAACATAAAACCAGCAGGGATAACTTCATAGATGTTTTTAAGTTCTTTGCTAAGAATCCATCTTGTTGGTGTACTTTTTGTCTTACCACCTTTGTGCTGCACAACAAGAAGAACCTAAGTACCTTCAGCTGCTTACAACTGCTTTTGTGCAAAACGCTTTTAAGGTGCTTATAATGTGGTGCTTCTAAGCAAGCTAAAAGAAAATACCAATATAAACACTGCTAAATGATTCATGAATAAAGCCATTAAAGACCAGCTGCTACCTTACGGGAAAGCTGAAGACAATTCAAGCTTGACATTTTAGTTGTGTTCCATGCCTTGCATTACCCTCTACCCCAACACAGTTTTTACTGATATGTTTCAACCCACATTATACCTTGACCTTGGCTAAGGTGGCTTTATTTCCACCACTTTGTTGTCGTTGTTGCTTTGTTTTTTTTCCCTCTTAGAGTGAATTCAAATTTTTCTGGCAGTCATTTCTAAATTTACCAAAAAATTATAGTAATAGACTATAGATAAGAGGTTTATAGCCATTCTTGCTGGCAAAGGTCTTCAGGAATGAAAAGAAGGATGAACAAGCTGTATAAGGGGCAGATTTTGTACTGAACAATAAACTTTCCAGGAAGCAGTTGTGTTCTTTGATAAGCTTTCAAGCATTTCAAACAGGCACCTCAAAACTAGGCACAAATGGCCCCTAAAGCTTCCAACATCTATCAAACACTCAAGAAATTTAGTATGGGGTATGTTCTGCATGATACAAATAGCACATCTATGTTTGCTATATTTATTAAGTCTCAAATCTACATATATTCATACCTAACTATTTGGCCAGATAATTTCCATCTTCCCCCACCACAACAAAAGAAAGCTTACCTAATAGTACTTCCAATGCCACCAAGTACTTCACAGGTATAAGCAAAAACCAGACATCACCCTCTGCCTTTTAAGATCTGAGTTACTACTGCCACTCTTGGCAGTTGGGACAGAATCCTCCTGAAAGCTTTTTTTCCTGTCTCTAAATGCCAAGTTCTGCCATCACTGGTGTCTTGTAACTGGCTACCAAACGTATCTGGAACAGGAAATTCAACGATTGCAAATCAGTCTGAACTACATTTGATTTTTGGCCACTTGGATTCTCTAACTGTTCACAGTCTAACTGTTGGTCACTAATATACTTAATATATAAAATGTGTATCATCCTACTGTGGCAGTACAATTGTGTCTACAACTTTCAAAAAATTTTTACGCTCATCATCTCTGAGTGCATCAGTTCCCAGTCTACTAGCAGTTAGCACTGGTTTTGAGTCAGAAAACCCCAAGATAATTCTGGCCCCCAAATTAATTTCTACTCCATCACAGCATTTAGAAACAGCTGAAGTCCTAACACCAAGACAGAGAGGGCAAGTGAATATTGTCAGTAACTTGTCCGGAAGTGAAGTTTCTTGGTCAGAGTTCCCTTACCTGGGCACGCTGCAAGGCTTATTTATTTTCCCAAGCTACCCCTACAGTTAGGCAAACAGAATTTTGCATTTATGTTCTGTAATATTTGTACATGCGGCAAGAGATTCAGATAGAAGCAATGTTCTATAAAAATCAAATAAATAAAAAATAAAATCCACATGCCAAGTTTGTTATAATAAAGTGTCAGTTTGTCTTATATGCCAAACAAACTTAATAGTAGGTATATTCAGTGGAAACAACTGCCAGGGAAACAGTAACATAGTCGTTGTACAAATGGATAGGCAATATAAGTAACAAAATTATTGGATTGCATGATTGATGATGTTGTTTTAAAGTGGTACCAATGTTAATTATTGGATTGCATGATGTTGTTTTAAAGTGGTACCAATGTTATTTAGATCCTTAATTTTGACAGTTTATACACATACTTACTTTCTCCAGTTCAGTGCAGGACAATACCATTTGTGGCAGCAACTAGAAATGCTCATTTCCCTGTAAGAGGCCATTTGTTAATCAGCATTTCTTTTGGGTCACAAGTGATGAAATTAAGTTTATGGGTAAAGTGCAGAATCTTACACATTCCTTTTCTTTGGGTTTTTTTTTTTTTCCCCACATAAACTTATCAGTTACTGCCACCATGCAAACACAGACCTTCCAAATTAACACTAATGCATTTAACATGGACACAATACATTAGTCAGCTTTTCATAACAGTAATGAACAAGCTAAACCAATCAAGTTGAATGAATTAAGTGCCCAATTACAAAATTAAGAATTTGTCCTTAACAACAGGGTCTAAAGGTGTGAAGCAAAGAAAACTTACACTGACACTTTATGTACAACTTGGTCATTGGCAACGGTCCCCTAAACCATTTTTAAATGAACCCAGCAAAACTATACAGAATGTGAAATAATATTTGCAACAGATCTCTTAAAGGACAGTGTAGAGAAATTCAATATGGTGTACCTGATGTTTAAGTTAACTTAACAGATACGGCCTGTAAAACAACACAGTATGAACCTGTGGATTTTTTTTTTTTCTTTTAAAAAAAGGACTTTTACAGAATTCAAGTAGTGTAGCAGGAAACCATAGATGCCTTTTGATCACAGGTCAGGCAAAATAGAGCCACTTATTGGATTTTCCCCTTGCTTCTGTTTGCTAAGGTGTCCCAGTGGATCTATAAGTCTGTTGATGTTAACTTTTTCATGCTCCGTCGCTGAGCTAAACTTGAGGCTGCAACAGGCTCTAACACTGGCTGAAATGTCTTGTGATTCAGTGCAGAATACGTAGCAGCCATGGCTCCCTAGGGAACAATGAAACATAAGAATGACCTTTACAGCCTTTTATATCAGAAAATAAGACAACTGTAATATTAAATTCTTAATTAACTATAACCCCCCCTGCAGGCCTTATGGCCCATCATTCACATTCTCTAAAGTTTGTTTTGAAAACAACATTTATTGCCAAATCCTCCAGGTTTCTAAGCATGGGCATCTGACGTTTCTTTCTGTTTCACATACCTTAGGTGTAGAAGTAACCTTTCAATGTGGGTTAGAATTAGTATCTTACAAGCAACATTAGCATCAGTTTATCAAATACAGCCACTTCAGTGATTACCCAGGTCTTGACTTATGAAGACAACACAATTAAGACTGGCTATCACAGGTCCTTGGTTTTTAATCCAATAAAACTAATGAAGTCAACTTAGAAACTGTCTGCATACAGCTGCATACAATGTTTATGTGTCACAAGTCAGAAACACATATACAGAACAAACACAGAAAATACTGATGGAAAAAATGTGGTGCAGTTTATTACTTTATGTTAGGAAGTACAATATGAGCCAGTCATAGAACAAATCCCAAAACATTTCCTGAATAAGAGTGCTAGAAGACCTGTGGAAACCTGTCCCAGATAACTGCCTTACCAGGTTTCTATATGGCCAAAGCTACCTTAATCTTTGAAAACAAAACATCCAGAAAAATTAGTTCACCGATAATTTGTCTTATATAACTTAAATATCTTTTGTTTTTCCCAAAACATACAAAGTCTATTTCTTTTCTAAAGAAAAACCAATGAGATCTGCCTGTAGCTCTAGAAGTGACCCAATTCACTACACATCCAGCAACATTCCACCTTCAGGTTGCTTTACCTTTACTAGATGTGGTGCATCTTGCCTGTTTAGTTGATAATGTGGCAACTGGTCCCTACAGGCTATCCACGAATGTTTTAATACTTGCTCTGCTGTATACCGCTGATGTGGATCTACATGAAGCATATGTGATAACAAGTCCTAGATAAAAAGGAAAACCACACATATTAGTCAGTTAAAATAATCTTATACAGACTTTAAAGCATTAATTACGGCAGCAATGAAAAAAAGTACCCTTGTGGGTACTTTTGTGGCAGGGATTAACACAATGCAAACACACACAAAAAATCAGCAGATAAATTGGACCGTTCTGTGCCTTGACACCACAGAAGTCTGAAAACAATGTGTTGTACTATTTAATCAGTTTAACAGAGCAAGCCTTTATTGTAAAGAAACCTACTGCTGTTTGTGTGTTTCATATTTCAGTTTGTTTATTATTTATGTAATTTTTAAAGGACTAAAAGGCCTATTAAAATTTAGCAGATAATTGCTTTCTTCCATAAATTCTATTTGCAAATGTCTCTCCTCTTTCATACTACACATTTGGGGTCTGCTGACCACATATTACAATTGAATTAATATACAGCGATATACTATCAAAGAATTTTACTCTATATAGCTCCTTGAAGGAAAAGCCAACAGAAACGGGCACTTGTTTTTGTCTATTTAGAAGCATTACCAAGAAGCTACTAATTACAACGTTGGTCAAAGGAAGAGCTGGGTGGGAAGGGCACAGAACAGAGACAGGAATAGCTTGAAAGAAAACAAAATATGAACAAGCTGACAGAATGTTCCCTTTGTTTTAGGTACAAAATGTTAAGCGTTCTTAAAAATACAGAAGTGAATTACTTGTGCTAAGACAGCATCAGCCAACAAGTATTCTGAATCAGTCCTACTGAAATGAACAAATAGGGCAGTTCCAAAGGATCAGGAAAAGATTTAATATTAATGCCAAGCTTTATAAAAGGTAACAGCGGTGACTAAGATACCTACAGACCAGGCCAACACCAAACCCAGAAAACACATACAGTAATTAATGAGAGATAGTCTTTAAATAAAAGGACAGCTGCATAATCAAGCTGATCAAGATTTTTGGCAAGATATCCAGATACATTTGGTGGTTCAAGTACTAGTTTAATTGCTGAAAGTACTAACAAAGACAAAAGACCCAATGACTTCAGCACTGAACAACATTTAAGAAATTGCACACACCCCCAAAAAAATAACCTATGAACACACGACTAGTTAGCTACTAGCACTAACACACAACTGTAAAAAGTCATCCTTTCACTTAACGTATCCCAAAACCCACCTAATTTTGGTCCAACAAAAACAAGGAATACAAAAAACACTGATGATTAGAAAAGCCTATAGTGGGACCCCCTTTATTTAAAGTCTTTTATCAGTGAGCTGAAGGAAGGAAGATTGTGCACTCTTGCCAAGTCCGCAGTGGGGCACCAAGCTGGAGGCGTGGAGAAAGAGCTAATGAGTTCAAGGGCAGGACAGCCATTCAAAGGGACCTAGGCACAATGGAGTAATGGGCTAACCAGAGCCATACAAAATTAAGCCAAGGACAAATGCAGAGTCCTCTGCTTTGAAAGGAAGAACTTGTCACCAAGGTACAGGGTGGGGACTGACTGGGGACCAGCTTTGCTGAGGAGGACTGGGAGATTATGGCAGACAGCAAACTGAACCTGAACTACCAGTGTGACCTGGCATCCAAGATGACTGACATTCCTTTAGTCAGCATGGTCAAAGGAATAGAGACAGAGGACAAAGTAAAACAAGAGATGTTCTCACTTCAAATTAGGAGAAGGTTTTTCCTCATTACAGCAGTCAGGCAGTGGAAAAGGCTGCCCAGGCAATCTGTTCCGTCTCAACTCCTGGAGGTTTCTGAAGTCCAACTGACTAAAGCCCTGAGATACCTGGTCAGACCTCACAGCTGACCCTGCTTTGAGCAGGAGGTGGGCCTAAGTGGCCTTCAATGCAATAAAGTTTGTAGGGAATAACAGCAAACTACTGTGTTAGACTAGTCTATTTTTAAAAGTTCAGTAAATATTCATTTGAATTCCACAAAAAGATAGTAATAAAACAAAACACATTTACACCTTTGCTGCATCTGAAACAGTGTCCCAGTTGCCTCCACTTAAAGAGAATTTTCCACTGCCTATCCGTACCAGGATCTCCTCTGGAGTATCATTAGGACCATTGGCAAATGGTGTATAGCTGTTGGAAAAAAAAACAACACAAACACAAACACCAAAACCACACCTCATTATAGGTAAGAAGCTGCAAGAAATCGGAAAATCTCATGAATCTTTGTAAGCAGATATCCCACTGCTGACAGAAATATACTATATACTATTACATACTTCTTATATTAGCATTAATCTTCAAAGCTGTATTATTTTCTTTTCCCCATAATTGTGGTTAATCAAGCAAAATAAACAGGAAATGCAGACTAAAAAGATGTCTTAAATTAATAACTGAATATCGCATTCTAATTAGTGTGGACTTTCAGGTTAAATAGAAGCAATTCTTAAATACAAATTATGCTAGATGCTTACCAAAGCATATAAAAATAATCCAAACCTGGAACAGTACTCTAACAGAATGACACAATAAAGCTAGAGTGTTTAGGGTATGTGCATTTAGAGACAGAATGAGCACAGTGTATACACACCTATCATTTAGGGAAAAGCTACAAGAAAATTTTCATGATTTTTTTTAACACCTTAAGCCACAAGATCATTGTTTTTGGAGGCTTATAACAGTTTACAGGGTTTCTTGTAGGTTTCGCTTACTTTCTACAAACCCTACTGTGGTGAACTCAAAAGAACTACAATGGCAAATCTGAAAATCGATCTGAATCACTTAAATACACCTTTTAACAATGTCAAGAGTATTACAATGTTCTGGCATCTCATATGGTCATTGGCTGGTACCAAGTTAGTAAGATTTGGGTTTTGTAGTTAAAACTAAGTAGTTAATCATAATACCCCTTAGATTTCAAATTAGCTTGCAAATAATAATAATTAAGCTTTATGCATCCTATCTTAGTACTTTGAAAGCTCTGCACAGAAGAAATCTACCAGCATCATCAAGAGAGGTTAAGGAAGCTAGTTAGTTCTAATCTTTCAGTTGATGAGCTTAGGAGGAACAAAATGGAAAGGCAGGAGTTCATGCTGAACCATTCCTCCCCCGTGCTTTTGACCTGCCACACCTTTTGTTCAGACAATGTTTCTCAGGTGTGCAGGCAGCAAACTGCCCAATATCTGCACACTTGCAATTAAATCATACAGCAATCTGCATTTTGATGACAGAACTGTAGTATCGGTGGCAATTTACATGTAGAAGTATGAATTTATCAAGAGAAACAGTTTCGAACAGACAGCATTTATTTATAAGACAAAACAAATCTGATACTTTTCTGTCAGAGCAGAATTCAGAAAAGCTTTTATCATTCAGCCACTAAGAGCTTCATAGTGCTATAGTGCTTTATGAAACTTGAGAGATTTAGAAAACTTAAGAGGTTCCAAAGCCAGTGTGCTGCACGAAATGGCCAGGAGTCAAGCCTGCAGCAGGGGATACAAGGAGGTGGACCACAAGGGTATAGGGTGGGAGAACAAGAGGCAGAAGGAGAAAGAAAACCACCGCATACTTTCACAGACTAAATTCTCTCCTGGGAGCTGGGGAGTCTTCAGCATTCCCCAGTCATGCACTGTAGAAGAGAGAAGTCTTGAACCTACCTGTAAGATAAGCCTAGTTCGTGTATGCATTTACTTAGAGCATCCTGTTCTACTTTAGTGTCTTTGTCATTCTGTATTCAAACCAATGAGGTAATATCTTACAATTTTTAAACGAAAGCATGGATTCATGCAGCATGCTGGAATTTTAGGTAAACAAAAAAGCTAAGAAATACTTCTCACCCTGCCAACATTGTGTAAAGAAGAACACCCAAGCTCCATATGTCACAAGCAGCATCATATCCCTGTCTCATGAGAACCTGTAAAACAAAGAGTGTTAAAGACTTTTCATATATTAAAAAAATAACTACAAACAATACCACTACATCACCTATGGAAGGGTAAGTCAATCCCAGGCTGATTATTTCAGAGGTTTGATTATTTATTTTTCAATATACCAGTTACAGTAACTATTAACAATATTTCTTATTCCCATAACATCATCTCTTAAGATTCTCAAAAGGCTTACATCTTATTTTTGAGGGTGGATTCTGCTATTTTTAAAGCAGGTTTATAATAAACATATGCAGCAGTGTTTATAAAGTAGGTATCATCACATTTAAGGAAAACTAGCAGAATTTCTTTTTTTAAATTTTTTTTAAAGCACTGCTAAAAAGTTTAAGTACTCGATGGATCAAAAACACCACAGAGAAAACACATGGCAGCTTAAGATACCTCTGGTGCTACAAAGTTTGCAGTGTAGCACGGAGTTAGAAGTAGTCCATTTTCTCCTCGAAGTTGCTTTGCAAATCCAAAATCACAAATCCTGATAGAATCAGCATTATTTGAGTCATCCGTATATAAAATATTACTAGGCTTAAGGTCTCGATGCACTACCTTTAAACAAAGAAATTTTAAAATCTATCATTTAGAAGTTGCATGTACATTTGTTTGCATATAGCTAGCAATTTATAAAAACTATTCTCTATATTAATACACTTAAAAATTCTACACAATTATATAACTTTCAAGTAACAAAAAATTCTAGTTCAAGTAATATCATATGAGCCAATAGTCTTTTTTAATGCAACTGGAACTAACATAACCATTTGCCAACAAGCATAAGGGAACAAGTATCTGCTGTTACATAAACAGCAAGTAGAGTCAAAAGGGCTTGTCAGAATAACAGGATGAGCTGTTTATATTATTCACCTTTGTAATAAAATACTCAGAAATCTTCTGCCATAAAAATAAGCCAACAAAAGCACATAACAATAGGCATTTGTTAATTCTCAGAAATGTGAAAGCAGCAATGTCATAGAAGAAATCACTCACTCCTTGGCAGTGCAGGTAGTCCACAGTCTTGGCTATAGTGTATAACACAGCACTAGCCTCTCGCTCCGAGAAGAACTTCTGTCTGAGAATTCGATCAAGCAGCTCTCCTCCTTTCATCAGTTCAGTGACAAGGTATATGAACCTACCATCATCATACACCTGACAAGAAGTTTAACAAGTGCATATGTATATAAACAAACACATAGATATTAAAAAAGATCATCTATAATTATACACCCTGATGTGAAAATTACACACTAGATTGTTCACCTATTGACACATGAACATAAAGTATGAATAGCAGGGACTGAAAAGTTTAATTCCGCAATTCAGAAGCCATAAAGCATGAAATGTAAGAAAGCTTACGTGTCATTCTGTGAGACACTGAGGTAATCAATTGTTAATTCATGACTAGGAATTAAATTTTTCAGTCTAGACACTTCCATTGAAAGAGGAGAGTAGCTCTACTGCTCCCTATTGCTCTTCCCCTACATGGACAATTTTTAGTGCTGGCACTTTGCACAGGACAACATGTAACTGCTTTTTCAGATTCACGTTATCGACACATTAGCTGTTCATTTGAAATAAGAGGAAATACAACATTTCTAACCTTTATATAATTTCTCACTTCAAGTTCACTAAACAGCATTTAGAAAAAAATTAGTATCAGGACAATGTTGTATTTTGAAATACTCAACACTTTAATATATGTACTGCTCTCCCAATCTATTTTATTATGTAAAAGAAATTAAATAAATTCCAATAAACTCCCTAGATCTATATTTATTTATCAACTATTGTGTAATAAGAAGTAGCAGAGAAAATGAGGTACATACATCCTTTAAAGTAATAATATTTGGATGTTGTCCATAACGCATGAGAATCTCAATTTCTTCTGAGGGATCCCTCTTACTTTTATCAATTATCTGCAAAATAGAGCAACAGGAAAAACAACTGTCTAAACAAGGTCTATTTAATAAAGAATTTTTTGTAATTATACTCTCACTTCAACAACAGAATAGAAAAAAACTTCTAGACTTCTTTACTTCTTACTAATCATGATTAATTCATCTTAAAGCTTAACATCCCACTGTTTACTCATTTCTTGCTCTACCCTTGCTACCTGTTAAAACTGTATTATTAATGCAGCCTGTTCTGTTCCAACGGACAAGGAAATGCAATGGACTATCTGAAGCATCACTACTTCCCTGTAGCCCAGTTCCACCCTTGTTGCTCTTATTTTACTTCAGGTGTGCTCATCATCATACAATATTTTCAAGCTTCAAGACAGTAACTGCAAAGCCAGTTTTTCAAGGCCATAACTTTACCCACAAAAAGAAGAGCTATAGAAGCCAATACACAATTTAAACAAATGAAGAAAATACTGCTTTTCATTTCTCACAGCATGTAAACAGCTACGGTAACTAAAAAATCCATGCATTTAAATTTGCAAATCTACTACACAATAATTTCAGAACTGTCACAGTACCTTTACAGCAAACTCCATATTTGTAGCTATGTGTATACATCGCTTGCAAACGGAGTAGGAACCAACACCAATATCTTCCTTAAGTTCATATGCATCAGTAAACTGTGCGCTGTTTCCATGAAGTTGCTTTAAAAAACAAACACATACAAGCTTTCACTTAAAGCAACAAGATGCTCTTTGACATAATACTGCTTGCCCATGCTTTCTCTTTTGCATTCTACCTCCAGAAAAACATCAACTTGCTTTTTAAAATTTAAAAATATCCCATGGAAGCATTTTAATAATGCTTTAATAATTTTATAGTAGTCTCCCCAGCCACAGAAGAACAGACTGTAAACACTAAATATTCATCAATCTTTGGCATGTCAAAAAAGTTTCTCAAAAAATAAAACGTTACCTGTACTATTGGCAGTATATTGGTGAGTGGTGATATTTTATGATCTTCTACAGTAGTAGTTGCAACAAAACTAAATCCTTTGAAAAGCTGATGTGCATTTGCGCTAGGCGGGACTCCTGGAGAATCTAGTGGCATATACATTTGATTAGCAAGGCTGGTTTTTAACATTCAGGAGATATGCTGGAAGAAACACTTTGAGGGAAGGGAAGCAAGCAAAGGCAATGCTAAATGTTGAATAAGACTTCTAGTCAGTTACCTGTCTTATTTCATAACACACACAAAGCAAGTATTAATGAGTTTTACCTAAAAGAGCAAAATGCCACAGGGACTACAGTATGAATGCACATTTTTAGGAAGAAGTTTATTGAAAGACAACACTACTTATGAGAAAAAATAAAGATCATAGTCCTATGTTCAAGGACTGCATCATGAGGAAGAGTGCCCATAGGTTTTGCTACTTCAGTGGTGTACATGGTACTGGCAAAGCAGAAGTGAGGCAGTACAAAAATATTCAGTTGGTAATACTACTGAATAATTAGAATCAAAATTTTCCTCAGATTATATTATTTGCACCTCTGAATTCACTGTTTGAAATTTTCACAGTAAGCACAGCTTGATAATTCTGCGCAGCCTCCAAACAAACATGACAAGTGGTTTTAAATTTGGATGCAGCAGTAAAGGAAAAAATTCACAAAAGAAAAGCTGAAGTTAAACATGAAGCATACTAAGCAGTAAGTGTTTGCACTTACTGTCTTTGTTTCCAAGTTCCGTTACTTGGAAGTTTTTGTACTGCAATTATCCAAGGATATTTTAAAGATAAAATTTTCATAAGCTTCTTGAAACTATTTGAGATGTCTTTGCAACTGAGCTAGTAGTACAGGTACCTAAGTCCACTTGACATTTTCCCCACGTTTCTCTACTTTTGAATCACTGTTTTCTCAAGAGTAAAATCAAATCCAGCATGGGTAGTGAGGGGAACAGCTCAATGAACAAAATTATTGTAATGCTAGTTTTAAGATTTAATTTTAATAATGAAAATGATCACTGCTGGAATCAAATTTAGTCTACCTTTAGTATTAAATAACTCCCCCCCAAACACTGTATGTCTGACTTCAAATCATAACTAGAAACCATAATTCAGCTTTTAATATTTTTTGTTGGTGTTGGTGAATAAAATTTTAGGAGAATATTTCAAAGAATAGGAACCCACTTAAAAGAACTTACTTCTTCAAAGTACCAGAACCCTGTTGCACACTTTCCTTTCAATTTTGTCACTGGCTTTTTCTTTATTTCATAAGCTTGTTGTTGTAACATTAATTTGACACCTCATCAATTTATAACCATATACAATTACCTTTTGGTGTTTTTGCTGTGAATTCTGGATCAAAACAAAAGGTATCTTCTGGCTTTCCAGAAGCAGGTTTAAATGGGGGTTGAATTTCTCTTCTGAACAGTTTCTGAAAAAGAAGAAAGTCTTAATTAAGAGTGAATGAAACTTCAGTGGTTTTCTGAAAGACCGAATGATATATAGCAATGAAAAATTCACAAATATATATGGAAGACTGAGTTACTTTCAAGTACCATTGATTTGAAATGCTACAGGAAACGTTACCAAACAAATCAAACAATACACAGCTCTCTAATTCTTCTGAGGCTGCCTCACCTACAGATCTGCACTTCTACAACTACAACAGCAGGCTACTACTTAACCACTAGTTCCTCTTTGGCTTATTCAGAAGAATACAGAACAGTCATAGTGTGTCTTACCTTCCATCACCATCTCAGACCTGGTTCATTGCTATTTTCCCAGCACCCTGGAACACCCACCCCAAAGGGAAGATAGGGAATACAGCCTTTACCTTTCTAATCTGGGTCCCAAAGACCTCTTACGAGTGACCGGCGTGTCCCTCTTGGCAGGAAACTGTCAATTCTCAAATCTCTATTCCAGGTTTTTCCTAATCTACTAAACTAAGTCAGGGGAACAAAGGGAAAGCAGAACAAAGGCTCCTCCTCTCTTTCTCCTTTACTCAACATGCTTTAGAAAAATGCATTGCCCAAGTCATCTCAAATCAGCAATTAGTCCCGTTCACAGTTAAGGAAGATAAAGTTCCGTGTCAAATGATGTCAAAGCCCCATGCAAAGTTCAGGAAGTTCTGAGAACATTTTCTTGGCATTTCTCTCATCCTTTCAGACTTTTTTTTTTCCAGTTCTTTTCATTTAATATTCCTGCACAAGAACATGCAATGTATTTTAATTTAAAAGAAAAAAAGAACCAAACCCACAAACAAGGAAGAGGGACGCAAATAATCTCAAAGAAATAATGAGATACAATATAGAAGTGGTCATCAAAACCACCACAGTGAAATAAATACAAAGCACTATCAAATTAAAAAAAAAAAAAACCAAACAGGAAAGTTAGAACTGCAGATCTTTCACACTTCCTTCCTGGTATTTATTTGAATACTAGTCCCTTAAAGTAACAAATTAAGCCATAACAACATAGCCTTCTCTTCTAAGTATAGTCAGATAAAAAAGTGAAGATTTGCTGTTACTGAAAATTCTACTTGCTAACTAGGACTCTGTGGTAGGTGCTGCATAAACACAGGTAGAAAACTGCTTTCTCAGAAGTAAATACAAAAGATAAAGAAAAGGATAATGACTACAGGCTTTAAAGAAACATTTGAGCACAGTACTGGCTAACATTGCAGGTAGTCCTGTCAGCACAGTAACATCTTATTTATTGTGTCTATCCGTCTGCAGGCATTATAACAAAAGGAGTGCTTCCAGAGTGGATTTATTTGATATAGAGTATCTTAGTTTCCTGAATGTTTCTGGGAAACACATCTCAAAAGCTTAAAGAGAACTGCAGAGGAAAAACATCAAGGTGCTTGTTAAAAATTTAAGCAAGCAATCATGAAATTGTACAGACTTCTGATCATCTCGGAGCACAAGAGTCAGTATTTCAACTGTGAATGGAATATGACCGATAAAATAGGAATGTGCTGTGGGTAACTAGAGAGAAGTCAAAGTTTTTGTGCCCTGCATGGAAGCATTAGACACACACTGAAGGATTCTTGCACAGAGGGAACACCAGCAGCCTCCCCAAACTACAAATGCTCCAACAGACAATTAAAGCTTTGGAATGCCGCAACTCTAAATTATTTAACAAGTAAAATGTACAATATATAATTAATACTCTCTATACCATAGACAATACAGCTCCAGATGCCAAGTAAGATTATAGTAGAGGCAAGAATGTAAGAGTCAGCAGTACTGCAGTATTTACTGTGCCCTATTCAAATGCAAATACCTGTTATGCTACAACATAGAAAAATTAAAAACAGCTTTATCATTCAGTTAATTTTGTACTTACATTCCAGTCAACAGTAGAAAAAAAAGGATGTCTCTTGATTTCTTCAACTCCATCTGAACCAGCTCCTGAACAAAGAAAATACTGTATTTAAAACACTTTCAGACAGTCTTTGAATAAGATCGCAATAAAAAAATAGTTCATTTCTAAAAAACTTGTGTAGACATAGTTATTTGAGGGAATTGTAAATACACAAATGTTCCAAGGAAGTAAAATACCCCATGAAGTAGTGTACCCCTCATCAGGGTGGCAAACAGAGCACAAGAAGCCCATAAATACAGTCAATACTCTTTGCTCTAACATAGTCAAAGCTTTGGTTCACTGCTAAGAGTCACTGGTCCAAGAAAGAAATCATTCATTGGCCAAACCCCGAAAGTCATGATCCAAACTAACATGAAATGGTATCTGATCCCAAATCTTACTGACCATCTGGAGCTTGAGAGTCTCTAGCAACAGCTTTAAACAATCAACTCAACCCAACTACTTTTATTTCAAAGATCCAAATAAATGAACCAACCTAATCTATTTGATGGGTTCCTTTTAAACAACATCCTCAGAAGACTCTGTGCTTCAGGGCTGAGGAACTGAGGCATGCCAAGTTTTGCTCTAAAGGAAAATAGAGAACAAGTAAGAGGAAGAAGTGTATCTAAAAACTGTCCACATAGACTTCATTGCACAATTTGATGTATCAAGGATCTATTCCAAAGTTTTGTAGAGTGTCTGTGTTTAACTCATCAGTTTTTAAGGTTCACATTATATGAGTGGTTCAAAAAAAACAAAAAACCCAACCGAATAAAACCCCCCACCACATGAGACAATAAACCCCAAATCCCACCCAAGCCCCCAAAAAAGGCTTTAGGATAAAGCTTTAAAAAAAATGATATAATAATCAGCTCAGGAATACACAAGTACTTTAAAGATATCTTCATGTCACCAGTAAGTTATCACCAAAAAACCTCTACCAGAATCAACGCCAGAAGAGACTCCCCAAATCCCAAATTACTTGCCCCTGAAGTGATTGCTAATATTACTTCTTGAGACTCTTGCTTCAAAAGGATCTAATTAAACCATCACATAAAAGCTTGCAGACTTTACCAACCTTATTTTATGAAAACAATTACACTAAGGCAAGAAATTCTTCTGCAAACCTGTAGCATCACTTAGAGCTCCCGGTGAGGCCAGTGATCTAATCCACCAGCCTCCACAGGTAGTATCACTAGAAACTCATACCCAGGGAAAGTTCAAACTGCCGTACGTTGGCAGGAACAGTTTCTCTCTCACCTCCTTCCCTATCACCCCCTCAGAAGGCCCACGGCTCTACACGTGGTCTAAAGGAAATTCTTTGTTAGGTAAGCACAAATGAAGATGAGAACACTTTGCCCAACAACTTCACGTACTAATCACCAGTTTACCCAGTTTGTCTTGTTAGACTGCTTCTGTTGTAACTGAGGTAATTTAATATAAAAAACGCACGCACGTAAGTGCACTCTCCATATATACGTACACAAAGCAACACCTGATTAACTATTGCTTACAAAATAAGGTATGCCATAACAGTAGCAAGGGAGCATAACCACATGAGTGGTAAATAATGCTGTTCTAATTCACTGTACTGTTTTTATCCTTATCATACACCTCTGATGAAAATAAAAGTTCATCCCTAAGATTATAATTCCTGCAGCTACTTAACAGTATTTGCATGGTCTGTGATCTAAAGCCTGAGGGCAGGGCTTGGCTTTTTTTGTTCCCGTTCTAGCTTAATGCTCTTCAAGCAGGAGTTATAATGAGCTTTTAAAACATGTTTAAAAATTACGTTTTCTGACTTTGCAAAAAGTAAGAAGATATACTTACTTCAGTATCATATTCATAGTCTCATTTCGATCTTTACCTTGAAATGGTAGTGTACCAGTAAGCATTTCAAACTGAAAAGAACAAATGTTAATCTAAATCAACACTTCTTCCCCCAACTGCTCAAACAAAGTGTTAAGTACTGTGTTCTTCCTTATTGCTACATTAGACATACTGGCTTGAGCTTTTAGGAGATTATCAAAAAAGGTCACAAAAGGAAAATTCTGCCATTTATGTGATAATAAGTGGTGAGTGTAATATAATGATGATGTAGGAATATTTTACTTCTATAAGCTACTTTGAAGCAATAAAAATCCCCTTTGTAACAGTTTCAGGTGTTGCTGTACTACAAAAACAAGCAAGAATGAATTCTAAAACAGTACTTTGCTTTTAAAGTTAACATGCATATTTCAGCCTGATGCTCTAACACATCACAACAAAGGTGGCAGTGCTAGCATTTACGGCTTATTTCACTGCTCTACTCCAGTATTCATTCAACAGGCTTACTCTTAGAAAAATGCAATTAATATTCCATCAAACCAAGTCTTCAGATTTTTTTTAACTATCAAACACTATGCATAATAAATATACAAACTGATGTTTCTAAACTACTAACTACATATTATGTTTTCTGTGGTTCCTGACAAGTACTCCTTACAGAGCAAAACAGATGAAATTTTATTCTAATTAGTTGATATTTCAGTAGTAATACAACTATTGAATTCTCTCTTCCCCTTACCCAAGTATTCATAATCAGATCAACTACATTATTCCACATTCACTTAAACAATATGCAGTTTATTTGTGACCTTAAGCAAGGTAAGGAAGGGAGCATACAGTACCATGAGAACACCAAAGGACCACCAGTCAGCACTCTGGTTGTGCCCTCGCCTGTTTACTACTTCAGGTGCCATGTATTCTACAGTACCACAGAAAGAATAGGCCTTCTTTTCTTGATCTACTGATTCTTTGCTGAGTCCAAAGTCTACAACAACAGTGTTACAAGAATATAGCCAGTAAAAAACTGTAAGGAATATAGCCAGTAAAGAAAAAAACCACAACAATACCATATACAGTATTTCAAAATCAAAGTGTTGACAGGTTTTCTTTGTTTGCTTTCAGGAATATTATGTGATTATCGTAGTTCTTAATGAAACAAGAAACTGCAAGCATCTAGAAATACTGCAGACGTTTAGTTTATTACATACCACTAAAACCATTGTATAAGTCATCGTTAGCCACCAACTTTACAACTAAAAATTACTCGGTATTTGAAATATTACACACTTAGAGCCTTAGGATAATCCAAAGTTCTCATTTTCTCTGATTACTGCCTGTTTTATTCACACAAAAAAATGGATATAAGTAAAAATGGGTTTCAAAGAGAACATAGTCTGCATGGTCTAGTATCACTGAATGATGAATAAATAAAATCAGACCAAAAATAATGTTGTTATATAAGATGTGGTTCTGCAACCTGACTCAAGTTCTGTAAAGAGTCTTGCATATCTACTCACTTTATTCCCAGAATACCTCCCCCCCAGGTTTGAACATTGCAACTGAATACACAAGTCCTTGATATTAGCCCAACTCTCCAGAGGGGGCTCTCAAGCATCTCTTTTTTCAAAGGGTAAATGGTTATTAATCAATAATCCCATCAGTTATTATTTCCACTTGCTTAAGGAAGTGCGGATGTTTGACTTGAATGGGATTTAAATATATCATGCAGAATTTTAAAAGTTATGGATTTTATAATGGATTTATTTTTCCATCAATCTTTGAGAATTTAAAAACATTTTTCTATGGGAATCTAGTAGCAATATCTAGAGATCAAAATATATAATGAAATTTATAATACAAAGGTATCACCTTAAATGTAATTTAAAGCTTTCAGAAATTCATAGTAATAGTCACAGTCTTTTGTATATATCATTTCCTAGAATATATGCATTTGAATTGTTCCTTATAGAACATTTTCTGCATTTTTATATGCCTTTGAAAGTGATAATCCAGAATGCAAAAAAATAATAATTAGTATTTCAGAAGTCTTACTGTGTGCTAAAAACTTTTTACACAAACAGCACCTCTGCTCCCTTTTAGAAGTCTCACAGTGGGCAACTTTATCTTCACCTAAAAGGCACCTGACAGTACGTGTTGATACAGCTCATTTTCTAACCTGAATGGTGGATAGTTTTATTTACTAACACATCACCACCTAAACTAAAATGCCTTAAAAAAAACCACAGTCAATGCCTGGTTTTGTATTTTCAACTAAATTTCTTCTATTTTAACCACAGCAATTAGGATCTGCACTTTACAGCATATTGATGCTTACACTGCAGTTTTATCCATGGAAATATTAGCCAACATGAAAACTAACATCAATAGAACCTGCATGGACATCAGGATCTAGTAAAAGACCAAAACCAGTCTCTGTTTATCTAAAATACTTGAATAAAAGTACTTAATACTATATAAAGAATCATTATATAGTGAAGGAATACAGATTTCTTATAAGAAATCTGTCCAATAAAAAAGAATTCTAAAAAGCTAAGCACTGGCTCACACATACTCCAGCCATCACTACATATATATATCTCTATCTCTCTCTCTCAGGCTTATAATAAAAGTTTATAGTTTATACAGCAATACGTTCAGAAAGCGCTATACTAATAAAAGTTACCTACCTGTTAACTTGATATGTCCTGCTTCATCAAGCAAAATGCTGAAAATTAAAATTCACATTCACCAATACACATAAAGAGGAATGTTTACATATAACATTTAAAATACAATAGTTAACAATTTTGACCTCCAACTTCCATCATTAAATTAACAAGCCAGTATTATTTCACTTAAATCAGAGGTATATGTTTTACATTTTATGTTTGTTTACATAGTCTAATAAAAATATTCTTAGTTTAATATTTTAGTGGAAAATGCAAAGCAGCAAGCAAAATACACGTAATAGTGGTAAAATACATTTTACTTTACTTTTCTGGCTTCAGGTCCCTGTATACAATCCCCAAGCTGTGAAGGTGATCCAAAGCAAGGGCCAGTTCTGCGAGGTAGAATTTCACATCTTCCTCTGTAAACATAACCTAATAAGAACTGTATAGATTTACCTTCTGATCTTGTCTTCAGTTTTTAAAACTGCAATCTAAAAAAATACTGCTGTCTTCCTAAACTTCAAAATAAGTTCTAGAAGTACCTTATGAACCCATAATTAATGAATTCATCTAACAGAAATTATATGCTAATATAGGCTAATCATCAAGTACACAAAAGAATTATCTACAACACTTAAAAAAAACCATCAGCAAATACTGCAGAGCACTAACTAACTTTTCAGGTAATAAATTTAACTATTATTTGATGTTATTGACCACCAGCACCCCTTCTGCCACAATCCTATACAGACTGTTTTCAACTGCATCATAAAATTTAGTCCACAACTGCTGTATTGTCTCTGTGAATTCGTATTACCAATATTTAGGTGAAAAAAGTAGGTATAATTTAGAAAAAAAGTATGCAAAATAAAACACTTCAGTGAAAATAATGACATGAAAATCTGCAGTGGGAGCTGAAGAACCTTCTTAGGAAAAGAAATGTGAAGAACCCTAGTGAGATACTGAAAAACTGATTGATATTGCATATAGAAATGCATCTCTCAAATGCTCTATCCTAAATACTCAACAGGTTGCTTCTCATTTCATATAAAAGAATCATACCTGCTTTGGCTCTTGTCATATTCTACAAGCTAGTAACCTTTAAACCTCAAATGCAATTCCAGTAATTTAAGTGAACTATTCCCTTATTTGTTAGAACACCAGGAACAAGGAGAACAGGCATCTCAGCTGCACAGTAGATACCTAACAAGACTTAAATTAAGGTAACTGGGCTTACCAATTTAGTAATACACTGATCTGTACTTCAAATTGCACATATGTGACCTCTTCTACTGGCAACAGAAATATTCCTAATTTCCACAGGGATAAGTATTAACATTGTACAAAAGACAAAGCTTTTAGGCTACAGAAAGTTTCACCTTGGTTTTATAAAGAGCAATGTTAATACTGTTTTTCCTCTATATCCAAAAGAGCAAGAGGAAGTCTTGGATACCATTACTCCTTGGAGTAGCCAAAATGCAAATCTCAGGATACAAAGATGCTAAACTCTAATCTACCATCTCCCAATAAGAATTTCATTTAAAACTGCTTTGTGTGTCAAATAAAACACAATGCAAGTCAACTTCATTAAACGTTACCAATGAAAACTTCATTACATAATCATTCCACTTCCACAGATGAAACTCTCATACCCACATTAGAATTTAAAGACCAGCAAAAGTGTTTTAATAACCTCATATTAAACAAAATTAATTTAAAATAATTCTTGTGCGGGAAGTATGAAATGCCATGGGGAATTTACCCTGATGTGTATTGTCCATTTTCTTTGTTTTACCATGTACTTTTGAAAATACCTTGTCTTCCCAACAGAAAATAAAAAGACCTGATTGTTTTTTCTTATTTATATACACAGTGTTTAAAAGTCAACATAGAGGGTAACTGAAGTCTTCCAACAAACTCTTAGAGACTTAACAGTAAGAAAACTTGACAATTGTTACTTCTTTATTCCCAAAGGAAATACATATCTCTTTCAACCACCTAACTAGTATTATTATGGATAGACTTGAATCCCTTATTTAAGGATGTTGCATACTCCGCAATCCCAGCTGTGTTAGAACAAAAGAATAGTTCTTCCTGCTATACCAGCATTTCCTCTATAAATAAACATCCTATAAGAGCCGAGATTAACTTCTTTCCTACCTACTGTTCCAATAACCCTTTACAAGTCAAGTTGGTTTGTTTAAGCTTCAACTCTGCAACATGGTAACTCCTTTACCAAGGTCTGCTTTTTTTAAAAAAATGATAACAAAAACCCCTCTAAATTTTTCCTTCTCTTTAGCCTGTTCTTAAAGTAAAGCTTTATTTTTATAAGAAGTATATCGGAATAGAAGTAGCTCATGTCCTCTCATGCTGGGGATACAACTACCTCCATGTCACAAAAAAAAAAAAAAAAAAAAATCAGATACCCACTTTTCTCATTTAAGAAAGTGGCTTTCCCTAAGCATTAGCAATCTAAATGTATTTACACTGGTGAAAACACTGAAAAAAACACTGAAAAGCTCTCTTACTGTAAGTTGTTGAGAAATTGCATTAAAAATTTAGATTCTTATGAAAGGCTTGCAGAAAGAAAATAAAAGTCTTATAAACACGTTCATAATAATTAAGGCAATATATAATAAATATTTGCTGAAAAATGTTTAAAAAAACAACCCAGCAACAGGCTGCACCATATTCTCTCCTCTGAAGTTCTCTCCAGAAAACAAAAATAGAAATGAAATATTAAAGTTCCAGTTGCATGCTAAAGTTAGATGAAGGAGAGCGATCTCCAAAATACTCAACCTTCACACTTTGTGAGACTAAGCACTAGGATTTGTATTACAGCATTACGAAATTTTACAATGCAGCAGAAACCTCTTATAGATCAGGCTTCAAGGAGCACCGAAGCTGACTATGAGCATGAGAACTATATATCCCCTTTCCTTATTGCTAAATCTTAATTCACTTAGGTTTCCAAGCAACAAAACATTTTTAGACAAAAGAACTGTCCTTTGTCGATATCAAAGAAAAACTGAAGCTACTAATCAACATACACTCATGTTTCTTAAAGCTATGGAATAGATTCTAGAATATGTAAGGGAATCCCAACTAAGTTATTAAAAACTCGACTATGACAAGAACTATGTATGAGGGAAATAGCAATAGAAGCCAACCCTACACTGACAAAAAATCCCACCTGCCTAACACTGAGCAAAGATAAAATTTTAGGTACTTACCTCTTTGGATAATCGCGTGAATACATCTCCTCCCCTGAGAAAATCCAATATTAAATATAGCTTCCCTTCAGTCTGAAAGGCTTAAAAAAAAATATAAATTAATCAATCGATGTGTAACAAAGATGATCTACAAAACAGATCTGAATGCTTTTCCAATTTGGGAATTCCAGTGAAAGAGAATACTTTTGTTATGGAACTGAAATAATTCAGCAGCACATGAGGTAATTTATTGAATAATTACTTGCTTCTTCACAGAAGACAATCTTAGTCATAAGAGATCATTAAAATACTGTTCTTTTATTTCTCCTTTGTCAAACAGGGAAACACCAAGTATGTGAATTATTGTGTTTTGGCTTTACTCAATGAAAAGTAAAAAAGATCTCTGTAGAACTTATAAGAATTTTCCAGGAAATCTTTTCATTTCCAAAGGACTTAACCTAAAACTTTTGTATACGTATGTATTTACATTTTTCAGTCCTGTGATTTAAACTTGCAAGAACCTAATTTGGGCACTAAAAGAGACACCACACAATTGAGAATGAACAAGATCAGCTATGCCTTCAAGTACTGAAAGAAAGTGTAGCATGAAAAAAATACCAACCATAGTGCAGTTTGACGATAAATGGATGATTTACTTCTACTAATATATCTCTTTCCATTTTTGTACGAACTCTATCCCGAACTGAGGGAAAAAAAAAAAAAAGAGAAAAAAAGACTAGTATGAAACAAATGTATTTGGCATCATACATATGGAGCAGAAATTAGCATATGGAAAGTCTTTGCTATCTAAAGAAATACTTTTCCTTGTTACATTATTTGTTTTTGAATTTTAAGTCTCCCACACAACACACACTTTCAGACAACTCTATTTCGTTTCTTACCTGTCCCAACTTCCTTAATGTGTACATTTTTCCCCCCAACACATCCTGATATTTTGTGATTAACCATATTAATTTCAAGAAAAAAAGCTCACATCTACACTTCCGGGCAGCTAACTTCAACCTCTGAATTAACTATCTGTACTGAATATGTATCTTCTGTCTCTTAAGATTACTTTTTTCTCTTCAACCTAGTAACAGTTGCTATTTACACACAGTGAAGTTGCATCCACTGAAGTGTCTTCTGAAAGCCAAAACAGTAAGTTAGTTTGCTATGGCACCTATAACAATAGGTAACTTTGCAATTTTAACCACAGTAGAGTTCTAACATAACAAAAGAAAAATTGTTTATGAAATTAGTTCATTTTAATGTAATGGAAAGTCTAAACAGAATTAAATAACACAATTTTAAACTTTGTAAAAGTACTTTTTACCACATAATTAAAGCTATCTGGCCAGATTTTAAATAATTCTTAAACATGAACTTACAAGTTACTCTAGAAAAAAAAAGCTACTTTCAGAGAAGAATTATAAACTCACTGAAAAATATTTAAGAGTAATAAAAGAATTTTAGACAGAAGTATTTTTAAGACTCATTTAAGATATACAGGTGTACTGAAAACTATTTTCTAAAGTTCCAAATCAAAAGATACACGTACCTTTTAAAGAAGCTTTTTTCAATACTTTCATCGCATAAAGTTGCCCAGCATCAGGACCAATTATTTTCCGTACGAGGAAGACCTGGTAATATAAACACCACTTTTAAAATCACTGTGAAAAATATTTTATGCAAACCTGACTAAAAACCATTACTACATCTTTACATTTAACTTCATTAATACAGACAAGGAGATAGCCTGTCCCTAATCCCATCCCATTCCTCAAAAACTCTGAGGAATGAAAAGATGCCAAATATTCTTAGCAAGTCTTTCTGCATAGACAAGCTTAGTAATCGAATAAGCAACTACCACAAAGGATTTACAAAACACCTATTTATTTCAGACAGTTTTCAGCATTCTTTCTTAAGTACACATCTTTGAAGAAAGGGCAAAATTACATTTCCTTAACCAGATTAGAGGTACATGCACCACCAAGCTCTCTCAAGTATTCAGACTGCTCATAAACTATACATTCTTTCCTATAGCAAGCCATTTAAATAAGTACTTATCAAATAAGTACTTAGATAAATGTATTTCTTTACATTAGTTTCTTGGAGAATGACCATTTTGCCTGGTCTGCCACCTCATAAGAGGCTTTTGAGGTTTAAGAGCCAAGTCTCAAATACGTAACAGGCTATATTAATGAATTCTGTAAGAGTGGTGAGATGAAAGCAAGGAAACCTTGCCATCTAAGATCAAAGCACCCCTTCCCTCTGGGAATAGCAACTCCAACAGGTTTTTCTGCTCTTTTTCTTTCCAGAGGAGTTTTGAAGATAGATGGTATATAACTTGACACTAAGAAAAGTGTAATATTAGACAAAATAATGCAGTACAAATACACCTATCTCCATTGACTAATATTCTAACTACTAGGTCTTTCAATTTACAAAATGGCTTGGTACGTGCTCCTGTTCTTTACTTGTTTTTCTTATAATTGCAATTATTAGTTATGGGGAATGTCTGTACTGTAAAAAAAATAAAAATGTACAAGGCACAAGAGAATGCCAAGAGATACCCAAAATTGCCTCTCTGATCTTACCTTACTCAGATTTTCATTAACACTAGATTTATTCACATATACTCTGTTGGAAATTATTAAATATCTAGAAATGATTTTTCGAGAAACAATCAAACAAGCTTTTCAAATTTTCCATTCTAGAATCAGAAATTTATACACTGTCACTGACTAAGTTGAATAAGGTTGGGAGAGAGGTTGTTTTTATTTTAAGCTCTGGTTAGAAGAAAAATATCATCAAGTTTCAAGATAATAGGCGGTTTACTTAAGTTTTGTCCAATGATTGACCTACAGCACTGCCCTCTTATATGATGCTTGATACTCATAGTAAGTAAAGGGAGTAATTCAAACATCAGCAAATAAGAAAACAGCTGTAGATTAATACACCCACAATTGTAAAAGTAAAATATCAATAAGCATGTACAAATATTTTAGTCCTTGATAATTAGCAGCTTGTAATAACGTTATGTAATTGAAGTACAAGTTACAAATTCTAGCTAGTAAGGACCGATATAGCAGCCACTGAACTATCTATTTATTTTGCAGATAGTCTCCATAATCCAGCATTTTGCAGAGGAAATACAATGGTGCCTTGTTCAATTGTAAAGCAAAATCAAGACAGGCACATCTTGTCCAAAGCGATTCACCTAAGCGAATGGAAGACCACTCTCAGTAGACCCGAGTGCTGAAGCCTCAGAAGTTATCAAAGGTTGAAGAAACTCAGTAACAGACATAAGATTTAACCCGTTATTTCTGCAAAGCAGTGTTAAATCCTGCATAGGTGTCAAAAAAGTCAGGCAGAGGATGGGCTGTAGCACTATACTAGCCAAAGCAAACAAACCTTGTGTTTGCTAAATCCAAAGGGAGATCCCTGGGAAATATGAACTGGAGAAAGAAAACAAACACCAGGAAAGCAACAGCTATTGATCTTTGGAGTTTGTTTTTTCTTTCCAATAGAACACAACAAATACTAGCTAAAAAGAGCTCTGTTCAGACGGGCAACAGTTACTGTCCAATTCTTAAAGCTGGTTTCTGAACCAAGTACCGCCAGGTTTCAAAAGCTCTAAAACAGACGTCTCACCAAGCTGGTGGGATTCCGAGCCAGAAGTCTGAACTCTGTAAGTAGAACCTGTCTGAGTCAGGGCTAAGATGTTCATACCAGATGTGCTGAACCCTAAGATAGCTTAAGACATCTCAAGTCAGGAGTAATAAATGCATGGAGCCTTTTAGTCCCTGAAGACAAGGGTATATGAAAGAATCGGCAAAAACACTACCAGATAAATGTTTCTTAAGCTGTAAAACATTAAGAAATATTTTAAAGTCTAAATTATTCTAAATTATCACTAATTCACAGAATGCCCTCCTAATGTCTCATTTTTTCCCCTCCTCTCATACAATTCTGTGTAGTTTTACTCCTGTCACAAAACAGACAAAAGCAGCAGAAGAACAGGAAAATGGAAACATACATAAAGCTGATTGTCTGGCTTTTGTGTGTTTCGAAAGATCCAGTTTAAGAGTTTGGGTTTAAAAAATAAATCAGCTTCTTATACATTATGATTAATATTTTAATTAATATGTTTCAAACTAGTGACTGAGACATTTGATTTTTAATTTCATTTCTGCGATGTGACACCAAGTGGCACATTACAAAAAAAAATTCCCATGTTTCTCCTATAACCTATTTAAATAATTATTTTAAATAATTGTTCATTTAGTGTCTTTTGGCTGTAGTAGTGTCTTTTGGCTGTAGGTCACTTGACAAATGCAGCAAAACACTGAAATACATTTCCCAGGTTATTTACTTTATTGTTACTTTGGTTCAAGTTCCAAACTACCACAATCATTCTTCTGTACCTACATCAATACAGATTTCATGCATTGAAGAAAATCAAACATTCACAGTGTCAAGTACCATCATTAACAGACAAATCACCATCTCCTCCAGAAGCCTCTATCGATCTTTATTACACTGCTGATGCCCCCCAAGCATCAAGCTAAACTACAGAAGATGCGAGGCAACCTATATGGAACAAAGATATTGTTCATTCTGATTCCTCACTACATGCTGCAATAAAGCCTTGAGGTAGTCAAAACCACCACGATTTTATTTCAAATAGCCATGGCATTAGGCAAACAAAGCTTGACAACACCAGAGCTGTTAAATAAAAGCCACCCCAACTCTATAACCCAAGTGGTAAAATGCCATGCTGTTGGTGCCATAGCTCCCACGAAGCTGCAGCTGCCAGTCCTGATGAACCACAGTTTGCTTTCACTGAACATAGAGGCTTGTAACTTCCCATGGCAGACCTAAAATTTGCTACTGACTCATTCTTTGCTGCCTAAACACTGAGGCTGTTGCCTCTCTGTCTCCGATATGATTTGGTGTCCTGCTATAAACAGTGCTCCCCTGGCACTACAGCAAGATTGGGAAAAAATGAAATTTGTCAATAGCTTTTCAAACATTCCCAGAGACTCTGCTATGTCACTGCCCTCTTTATCCAAAAACGTACTTGAGCTAACCTCTCCCAGGTTGACTGTCTGGAAAGGTCTATTGAGAAAGACATTGCTTTTCCTCTAAAAAAGGTGAAGTCAGAAAGGCTGTCATAGTAAAAACAAGAACAAAAAAAACCCCACCCACATTGACCAACTGCAAAACAAGATGGGTAACTTCCTTCAAACCATGGAAATTTCCACAAGATATCTACCTATACTCAGATTTGTCAGGTTTATACCCAACCTCATAGTATTATAGAAATAAGGGGAGTAAAACATCAATAAGACAAAGCAAGTTCAAAGTGGACATCAGATGAAAACAGTTTGTTATCTTACCTTTCCAAATGATCCCTGACCAAGAACCTTAAGTAGTTCAAACTGTGCTGGATCTGCTTTCTCACATCCTTCTTTCACATGATGCGTAATAGGAATTTCTTTCACACTTCCTTCATCCTATTATTTCAAGGCAAAAAAAAAAAATACAGCAATGAACAGGCCTTAATTTTCCTGAAATAATCTTAATGAAATCTGAATTGAATTTCATCATTTCAGGTAATTACTGCTTTTCACAGCAGCAAATAATAAATAAGGTCATTCAGTTGTAGCTAAAGGAATATGCATTGTTTGAGGAGCATAAATAAGATATGAGTCATCTTAAGAGCTCTGCAAATTCTTGCATCCAACAGAAGAAACAGTTCTAGAGTGCAGAGCTCGTGCAAAGACCACCCCGTGTGGAGACCTCCTTCAGAAAGCTGAGGGTAATTTGGAAGTAGGTAAAAGATTTAGTGTTCTGTTGACTTTTTCCTGTTACTCTCACCTTTATCAAAGCAGGGCACAGCAGCTACAGTTGTGAAAAGACAAACATTCATGATGAAAACAAATCAGATGATGTATTGCAGCTTTTATGGTGCAAGAGAAGCTTCTGTGAGCCAAAACAAGATGTCTAAATAAGCACCTTGAAACTACAAACTACGTGCTAAAACCTACAACAGCAAGCTCAGCTTGCATATAGAAAAGGAGCGGCACCTCTCAAGCCCTATGAAGAATAGCAATGAACTTCTTATACACAGGAAACACACCCCTATCACAACAGAAAATCCCATCTAATTTGCAGTACTTAGCTTTTAGGGTATCCAAATGATTATTAACGGTCCTCCTATCCTCTCTTTAGGTCTTCACCTTGAAAGCTTCTCTTAGTAGACTTACACCCTTACCAGCCCACAGTGCATTGCTCTCACTCAATTCCAAGTAGAACACCATCATAAAAGGACCTCACCACTTGATGAAACCGTTTAAAGGAAGAACATCATTCTATAGCCAAGTTGGCTACAGAAAGTCTTGCTGCCCAAGACCATGCATGAAAACTTATAATTAGCATTATCAGACTTGAACCTGGAGTACCTAGATGAAATTCTCTAGGTGGGTTTACACAGGAATTCAAGGCTGAAATCTACGTACACATCCAATGCGTAGGTACTTGCTGCAATAATTAAAAAACAGGAGGGGGGGGCAATCATCACACTGCATGAAACGTCTTAAGCGTTAATTGCTTTGTTTGTCCAGACAGGGAAAGAAAGAGGTCAAACTAACACCTTAGTACATTCACAAACTGTATTCCAGCTGTTATCACATGAGTCCTTTCCCCTCCCTGTTCACAAAAAAGCAGCCGACATACACTTGATGATACAGTGTATACATCCCAACTTCATTTCATCCGTCCATCCTGTTGACTATGAAGATACATATTCATATGAAAAACGCACACATCTTTTCATTTTTATTTATTTTCTTAAACACATGCCTGGAATGTAAGGCAGGTAAGAACACTAGCATTTCAAGTCATCCAGTGACAGACGAAAGCAGCAAGTTGTCTAGTTATACACCAAGTTGCACAACAGCCTTAATGGCTGGTTCATTCTATGAAATATGTAAATACTCTGCTTAGAAGCCTTTTGACTTCACCATCATAATTTGTATTCCTTAACACTGTGAACTTTTGCATAAGAAAAGATCTTCCAGAGTTCACCTGCTCTTTTGTTTATCACCCACCCTGAGTCATTAGCCCGTGACATCACATGCGGTTGCTGCGGAAACTGAGTATTTCTAAGCATAAACCGAGGAGAAAAATGTTTTCCATGCAAATAAAGAATAACTTGATATATATGAATTGAGTTACTTTATAAAAAGTGCTTTACCTTCATAATAGATGTCTATATAATTTCACCTACTTAACTACCATTAAAATATTAAAAGTTGCAATGACTGAAGTATAGAAAGACCGTTGCATCATCAACAAGAAATGAGAAGGTAACAAGTTGAACAGATACATAAGCCAGTTTCATTTTCATTTCTAGTTTGGCTTCCATGAACTGCAAATTCATTTATCTGATTCTGTGCTCCGTTGCTTGAGCAGCAAGTCTATTTCAGGGCTCAGGTACCGGCTCCCCCTGAGCCGCCTTGCACAAGAGGTAACTATTCCCAGCAGGTTCAACAGAAGACAAAGCACCGAAAGAAACGCCACAATCGGTTACGGCTTTGTGCCATCTTACTTCATCACAGCTTGACTGGTATGTAGCTCCAAGGACCTAACAAACAAGCTCAGCAACATCCTTCTGGTTCAAGTACAGTGAAAGATTGAGACAACCCATTGCTCATCTTTCCTACCTGTAAGATGACAATGACACTGACGGTTTATTTGCTTACTCCACACAAGGAAATGTACAAGCACCACATCTTTCTACCCCCAAGAGTTTATTCTCCAAATCACTTACATAAAAAAATTATTATTGCAATACAAAGCAGTGGTTACAGCTGGGAAGTAGATCTACTTGATACCTTTTTCCATGATCCTGATCAAAAAAATATATGGATGGGCGTGTTGAAAAATGATGGCTGTTTTTTCCATGACAAGTCAGGCAGTTCACCACATAACAGAATTAGCCTAAAGTTTAGTCCAATATTTAGCCAGCATACACAACACTGATCTTCACCACGTCCTAAATATGCACATCACCAAGGCACTAGATAAAAAATCATGCTCAACAGAGTTTATTTGGGATTTTTCTACATAAAAGTTAAATTAACATATCAGTGAAAAAATTAATTCTGTTCTAAAATAGCAGGAATTAAGCACCTTCTAGATGAACGTACAGCAACTACATTAAAAAACACAAAGGAAGAACAGACAACAGTGTAATAAGAGCAACATTAAGCACACAGTGTATAAAAGGTTCGAGGTTGGACAAAGCATCTTCCGAGGCTGAGGGATGTGTAAACGCACCCTCTCCAGCACACAGAATCTGTTTTCCATAAAGCACTGCCTCATGCAACAAACTGTCCCAAACAAGGCACTTCTAGACCCTAACAAGGTATTAATTTTCAAAATCATCTTTGAGAATTAGAGCCTCTTCAGATCTGGTCAAATAAAATGATAGGTTTAAACGTTATTAAAGAGCAGGGAATGCATAAATTTTGCTTCAAAAGGAAATCATGCTGAGTGTCTAAAGTGAACATCTATCAAACATACTTACGTGGTAGGAATACGGTTCGCCTTCTTCCATAGGCTCATCTGCCATTTTAAGGCCATTTAGCTGGAGAGAAGGAAGGGGAATGCAGAAGAGAAAGAGGAAAAAAAAAAGAAACAAACAGAAAACAACATTAAGACCTAACAATTTCAAATAAGCAGAGTTCATAATTTGACCAATTTACATTTCAGAGCACAGAAGTGAAAACTGGTGTTCTTGTTGCTCTAATTTAAACCTGTAGTTTCAAGCAAATACTACTGCTTAGTAGTTACATTTAGCTCTCCCCTATGTATCATGTAACTTATCCCTTCGTAAAATGCCATCCAGTAGTTACTTAATTGGAACTAATTTAAAATTCCTTCTTTAAAAGCTATAGATACCATCCATACCAGATAAAGATAACACTAATGTAAAATTCTTCCATTAAGCACAAAAATTGTGTTGCAGATGCTTTTTGGAAACCTAAAATCATAAGATCTCCTGCTGATTAGTGTGCAGTTTAAGGAAGATTTAAAAATGATTTCAAGTCCTCTGGGGGCAAGAGGGAGAAGCGCAAGATCAGGCAGAATAGAGGACACATACCACAGAATTCTTATGTACAAAATTAATTATCCATTTCCTTAAAAAATTAGATTCCTCTAAAAATTTGCTTGCATCAAAAGTTATTTAAATATCTAACAGAATACTCAAACTTTAACAAAGTACTTTTAGAAACTGTACATTAAAATATTTGTGGATCAAGTTCAAAAATAACACCTTTAAGAGGCAAAAAAAGTATTATAAGCATCTGGACAGAAGCAAATAAACGACATGCTCTCAAATGAGCATAATACTTGCCAGCATTTGCCCACCCCCCTTGCACACACTTCAAACAACAAAGAAGGTATCAAGCCCCCAGCCACAGTAAAAAGAGTTTAATTTATAGGTATTTAGTTTAAAGCTCTCCCTAAGTAACAAACAATCCAATGCTTTTTAACAACTGAAACAAAAAAAATATTACAGAAATATAAAGACATGCTCTGTTTCAACATGCAAAGCATTAATTAAAAACTGGAAATACCTGACAAAATAGGTGAAGCCAATTATGGATTTTGTTAGTGATAATTGCTAATTTATTTATATGGTAATTGCTCAGCAGCCCTACCTTCATGTGGCATAGATCTCACAAAACAAAATACTAACTAGAATTAACCTAAGACAACTCAAACTACTTTCTCCTGAAAACCTTCTTCAGAGAAGGTGAACCAATAAAGCTCTTAGACCAGGCAATGACTTTTTTTTTTCTTGTACTTCTGAATTTATCTAAAATACATGCCTAAGATACCACAATATGGTATGATTATCAGTTTCTGAACTGGTAAAACACAGGACTACAAAGAATCTTGAAATGCCATCTAGACCATGCCCCTGTTTAAAAACAAAACACAGAACTCGACAAACAGGTAGGGCTGAAGGGACAGGTTTCTATCACCATGACTGCGTCATCTAAGCAACCCTCAGCCACTGCCACTGCTGCTTCTAGGACTCTTGATTTCAAGTAGAGCTTTTAAGAGCTAAGTCCTAAATTAATGACTCTGATAAAATTAACTCTCCAGTTTTTGTATCAAGATACTGGCACCTATTTTTGGACTATATCTTCACTGGAAAAAAGTCAAGGAAAGTAGCACGAGGCTTTGGTTACTTTCACTCTTCTCCAAGTTTCTATTTATTTTAACCACACTTTACACACATACTCTTCACATTAACTATAAACCATCAGTTTAACCCAGTGCTGGCATATTCGACACATGGTCGTCATTCATACATATCATGCATTTCCACCCTAATTTCTCAAGGCCAAAAATCACTAACCTGTTAACCTGAATTCAAAAACCTCACATACATTACAGAAAGCAATGCTACTCATTTGCTACATAATATTTTTATTTTTGCATAATTTTTTTTTCCAAATTAAATAATGGGAGGAATAAGACACCTGCTATACTCACTATTGTATGAATTAATTCAATGCATCAAGAAATAATGCCAAAGTTCATACCAGATATGAACCCCAACCTCATTTCAGACAATTCACTGCCATGCGATTTCTTTTCACAATATCACCAGATTACATTCAAGCCTCAATTCATGCAAGGCCCAAAGTTGTCCTAAAATCTTAGCTGGACCTGGTAAGAAAATGAGTTTCCACTCCAGGTACTCAGAAATATACGATACAATTCCTCACTCGTGGGCTTTAATGTCATTTAGCGTGTGTTTATTTTTTTTTTTCCCTCCTTTAAATATGGTCAACGTTTTCCAAGGTGTTTTACTTAAATTTAAGCTCTGGAACCAATACCACTAGCCAGAAGAATTGCAGATACACTGAAAACAGCAGCTTAACAACAGGCAATCAGATACAGAAAGCTGTCACTGCTGGAATGGGGTTTTGACCCAAAAATCAGCATGTTATTTGATCTACACAGCTCCTGAGCACGACATGTAAGCATACTTCCCGCTTTATAGCGAATCAAATATAGTAAGTTATTGGATTTTTATGGCAGGTAATCAAATGTCATCTTAATTAACAATTTCCTATCGTACACATTTCCCCATCACTGTTGCTCATGTCTTGGTTTTTTTCCTGTCCAGACTCTGTAACTACAGAGACTGGGACGCTTGCCAATTTTTAGTCCAAAGAATTTTATGTTCAAGTGCATGAATCTACTTTTATTGCCTGATGTACACGACTACACTTTTGCCTTAATTGTTTGTGAACCCTGGTGACTGTCCATTAAAAAAGAAAACAACAAACAACAAACCCACTGAATCGCAACCCGAAGTCTAGTAGTTTGTTAGTTATTCAGGTAGAAAATTCAATGACAGAAATCAAATCATTACTGTTCTGTACAGTTACTTACACTGGCCAAGTTTCAGTAACAAGGAGTTTCCACTGTACCCCGTATTAAGCAAAAAAGAGAAGTTACAATTAATACTTAATTCCCACCTCTATGGAAACCAAATAAAAAATTCTGCTTCTGCAGCCAAGAGGGACCCCTTTCAGTGATTTAATACTGAATATTTATGCACAAACATGTATAGAGGTTAAAATAGTTCTGTTCTAAGTCATTACTTACTATTTATTATTGAGAATTAGAAAGCACATATGTCTATAAAGACAACAGGTGAAAGGAAGCAAGTACCATTATTCTAAGGAGATTCTTTCATCCTTGAATCATTTTCTCATTCAGTACTGCTGAAGTCCTACAACTAACTGAACATTTCAAATATTAACTTTCCTTAAAAACTAAAAACTCAGACTTTAGGCAAACAGTATCAATATTTTCCTAATAAAAAAAACTTAGAGAAAGTATACCATATTATTGATCAGTATAAAAATAACCAAAGTCACTACATAAAAAAGAGATGAGAACAAAGTTAGGGTCAGACAACCTGGCAGCTAAGGAACTTACTTTTCCAGAAGTGCAGGCTAAGAGACCCAATTCTCCGATGCCAAACTGCCTCTGAGGTAACACAGTGCAATCTGCCTTCTGACTTAAATAGCTGCCATGGATCCCATGACTAGCTGGGACTATACCCTATTACCTTGGGAGAATATCCAAAGGGCTTTTGTGGGCTGGTAAAAAGCTTAACTACTATTGCACATGTTTTTCCTCTGGTAATTACAGCAGAACAGAGCAATACCAGTATTACCAAAGATTAGAACCATCTTCCCCCCATATTAAGGATGTTTTAACAGTTTACATGGTAAATGCATTATGGTTTGGTGGCTCCATAGGTTTTGGCTGAAAGAAGCTAGATGAATGGACAGCAAAAATGCCTAACTACAAAGAATAACAGTAGAAGATTTAAAGCTTGTTCATTCTGCCCTCTTCTTATGTGCCTTCATTTAGATATTCAGACAGAAATAAAAATTTTATAAAAAAAAACAGAAGTTGGAATTTTATAATCACAGTATTACTAGAAGTAGAAAGTGCTATTCATCACCACTCATGTATGATCTAGTCTGGCTTCAATCAGGTAAAATTCTACATAGGGATCGACAAAAGCTTCTGCATCCTCCACAGTTCCTCCTTCACTGCACTCAATTTGCTAAGCTACTGCAGCTACAGTTGCCAGACCTACACCTCTCAACAAGCACAAGACAAACCAGTTTGCTTCCCCACATACAAAAGTATTACTTCAAATACTTATTTCAAAATGTGAGAGTGGAAGCTTACATTAGAAACCCCAATTACTTTGAAAAGACTTTAGAAAAAAAAATCCTTTGAAAAAAAATCCTGTTAAGACAACCACATTTGTTCCTCATTTATTTTGAATTACAACTGCAGAGAGTTTGCATCATTAATTTAATTAGCAACACACTGGCCTACTGAATCTTATTTCCTGAGACAGGTTTGAGAAATCTGGGGGTTCTGTGCACAGCCAAACAAGTAGGGGCTTTATTATTCTTTAAAAAACATCTAAAAGTCACTGTGAACAAAACTGAAGCTTCAAGGCACCTGTTCTTTCTATAAAACATCCACAGCTTTTCTCCATACAACAGTTAGGGTTTTTCTGGTGGTTTTTTTTTTTCTTTTCCAAAGTAGACATTGTTATTGCATGCAGGTGCCCAAGCTGGATTCAGTGCTCTTTACTACCTGGGTTCACGTGCTTTTGGGAAGGGAAAATTTCCCCCAGTACAGAAACCAGCCCCATGACATGGAAGACGAAGCAGTGACTAAGGCTACCCATCACAGAATTACACCAGCCACAGCCCAGTCCCACCCCACCACGATGTGACCAGAGGAAGGATGTCTCCCTGATGGTAGTGCCCACGTGAGACTCTGCAGGTCTACGCTGAATTTTCTTCTCAACCCCATGCTAGTCTACGTTCCTCAGCTCCTCCCACAAAAGGAAGAGGGCAGGTAACTCACTCTCTCATTAAACATACCAAGAGAGGAAGATAAAGCCACCTGCATTAAAAAAAAAAACCCTGTAAAATACTTAAACCCGTAATCAATTACAAGGGAAAGTTATAAAGTTCTTTTCCTGTGGCAAATAAATCATACATTCAGACAGGATAACAAACCTTCAGCCACACATAATTACTGATTTTAAGAGAACATTTTGATCCTTCCCATTACGGGAGATCAGGGGAGAATTACGTGTGTCTCAGACTAGTCACAGCAATGACAAGACACAAACCGAACTGTAAACACAGGGATCACTGAGCTAGAAAAGGACTTGAGATCTTTTCACTGCTGCCTGTCTGGGAGATGACAGGAACTCCATAATCAAAGGGCATAAAGCAGCCACGCTGGAAATCATGCTTAATGGCAGATTAAAGAATACTGGAAAAGCGTAAGATTTAAACTTCATGAAAACAACATATTTAAAATTTTATTCTTAATGTAGTAAAGAAGTACATCTATGTAAGTATTAAAATTCTATATACTATGAGTTAACAAATCTTACCATTCTTTTGATTTAGGGTTATTGCAAAGTCTCTCTAAAGCTATTCTGTGGGAACTGAGGTGAGCTTTCTTGAACAGACCCCCTACTCCATTTAGAGACTCACCACAGCAGATTTCCAAAGTGATCTTCAAAACTGGTATACCAAAACAGAATTATTATTGTTATATTGCAGCACTTTTCAATGCATAAAGATACTCATTGTTTTCCTTCTAAGAGTATTAATGTGCTTGCTTTTCTTTAAGGCAGTTCGTTCTCATAAGTCTTTATAAAAACTGTACATTGTTGCAATGGCTGAGGGCACTTAGTTCAAGCTACATGCAATACTACTACTTTTTTTCTTACCATACCACCACCTAATTGTGGAGATTTTCAGAGATGCACAAAACTAGGTAGCTGAGTCATCCATGTCGCTGCCAGTAATTACTCACAAAGGAGTTATGCAACTCCTAACACTGACAAAATTCAGTGGCCTTTGACAGACCAGACTCAGAACATGCTTAAGAGGACAGGCTACAAACACTGGCCAAAATCGAAGTTGTATTTGTTTAAACTGGCACAGGCAACAGATTATGTACAACAGCAGCAAAGATCAACTCATGAACGTGCCTTTTGGAAGGCAGCAACTTCCAATGCAGCCCAGTTTTCTAGCAGAATACTTTAATTTCTGGTAACTTTGTTCTTTCAGCTTTGTCTTCCTTGTCACCATCAGCCAATTAGGCAACTGGCTTCTGAAGCATTTATTTCAAAAATAAATATATGAGGTTGCACTTATACAATTCACAATATTAATGTATTGCAAACAACATACACTTATGTCAATTATACTTTTCCTTTTAAATGCAAGACTACTACTATTAAATGGGCAGAAAATTCCAAAATTACTGTATTCTGCCCAGTTCAAAGTACTCTTGCACTTCATTCAGCTTGGTGAACAAAATGCTAACATTAACTTTCCTGTTTCTTTATAGATTGCAATCGTATTTCAATAATCTACAACAATTGATTATAAACCAACACCCTACTGTCTATTTTCTATTAACATGAAAATAATTAATAATCTTCTATTTAGGAGGAAAGAAGCCCTCTCAACATTTGAAGCTTAAACTGCATAACACTGGCCCTTTCTACCTACGCTTAAGGAACTCCCAGTCACAGAACTGCTTCACAAGAGACACTGCCATAGGAATATAAGAGCAGACAGGAACAGCACAGCGTATGGTCCAAAATGTAACCCTTAGCACACTCAAAGACCACCAAGAGGAAAAGGCCAAAATAATTCAATCCTAAAGTTCTTGCAAAGTTTCATGTTGTTTTTATGCCTTGAAGCATGAAAATTTGTCTCCCACCTTCAAGATCACATCCTTCCTTTGCCAACTGTTTTTACTTCAAGTCGACATGAGCACTACTTCCCTGGCAATGCACTTATTTCTAATAACACAATCCTAACTTCAGTCAACAAGCAGATTCCTCAAAGAGAACTGTTTCTCAAATTTTTCCTCCTATGCTACAACTGATGGACAAGAGCACTTGTAAGCACAAATAAGTTTGTCTTCAAAATCGAGGAGGTCACTGAGATCTACCAGATCACCAACATAAGGTTGTCGTAAGTACTATAGGCTCTATACTATAATTCTATAAAATTTACGTGAAGAATCCAAACCAAAAATTCCTTTTAACATAAAATAAACCTTTGTTAAATTCCCAAACGACACAAACATAGACTTCTAACAAGTGGAAAGTACTACATATCCCTCAGATGCACTTAATATAAAGTTTTATGGCAATAACAAGTATTTGTTAATGTAATTTGGAACTTCATGCACAACTTGAAGAAACTGGTTGCGGTACAAACAGTCTCAAATGCTGCTAGCCAAATGTAATCAGAGCACAACTGAAATAGTTTTACACAGACCCTATTAAGTAAGAAGTTCACGTACGGGCTTGAGGAAAAGACAATTTAAACAAGTGTTGCAATCAGTTGCCTTCAGATGTTAGGAACAGAGAGCTATTTCAGCTAGACATTCACCATCCTATGCCCTGTTAGCTAGATGAGCGTGACTTCAGAGCCAGGCTCCTACGGCGGTGCACTGTCAAGCTCACATCTCTTTATTAGCCCAAGCCCAGTAAAGTATGTGAAGATGCCTGAAACACCACCACAAGCAGCTGCACCACCTGTCTGACCTTTGCTGCACTGAAACTAGGGCTGGTTTTCCAGCCTCTTGCTAACTGCCAACACAGCATTTATTGCAAAACCTGTACACAAGGACAGGACTGAGCACAATACTCCGAAAATTGCACCAGCCTTGGTGGAGGGGTATTTGTCCAGCCAAAAAATACCAAGAGATGCATAATAACCACAAATGATCACATTTCAGCTATAATACTGCAATATTGCAATACAAGCTTGCAATACAAAATAAGTTTAATTATTTTAGCACTGATGTATCACAATATTCTTAATGAACAGATCAACAGAGCTAAGAGAGTTCTCAGACCTTCAAGAAGCTTCATACCTTAACTACAGCATACTATTTTTACAAACCAAGGGATTAATAAATAAGCTTTAATACTTCTGCTGACTTTTTAATCCTTACCTGTAGCTTCACCAACATAATCAGGATTTCTCTAATATTAAGGTACAGGGACTGCATCAAGCACTATTAGATCATTAGAATATTTTAAAGTTGTCAACATGTAGCAGCCATGGCATAGAAATGCATGTCCAGTAATTACAGGACTTGGAAGTGGCACTTTGTAGACACAGAAAATAAAACGAACCCTAAGAAATTTAAAGCCTCATGGCTTTATTTCTACTGTAAATTATTGGGGTTTTTTTTACATTTTTATTAGAAAACAAAATTTCACCAATTTCCTTTAAAGGATATCCTTTCACTCTTCCCCAAACTTTTAACCTATGCCTCTTTTGTGTGCTTTTGTACTGAGAGATGAGTTTGCTACAGACCTTTTTACTTACGATAAGAAGAGCCTACTGCATCACAGAAAGCAAGTCCAACCAGTTTTAAGACGCTTTATTAAGATAACATCTTTTGTGAGTCTAATACACCTAGGTGTAATCTTTTATTTGTCATACTTGATGATACTTGATATGCAATCCTATGCTTCTGACTTAAAAGTGCAAAAGTTTTAATCCTTGAACGTCACATTCTGCTGAGATACGTGCATATTACCAGTTTCACCATTTAATTATTTGGTTTTAAATAGCATTTGGTACTTGCTTACGGATGCACCTAGAGTGCTAAGCTCAAAAGACACTCTCGAAGTTGTTCCTCGTTCCTCACAACATCCAAGCTTCCAAACCCCTGTCACACACTCCTGCTTCGTCCTGTCAGCTGCGTGCATGATAATTATCCTATATATATCCAACGAAAAAGCGAAAGGACTTCTCCCAGCGACAACCTGCCTGGGTGCGCACCCAGCTCAGTACAATCACATTTTCAGAAGTTAAAGCAACTTTCCACAGGAGCTACGGCCACAAACCCCAGAGCGCACAGAAACCCTCCGGAGCTGCAGGAGAGCCGGGCAGCGGCGGCTGTGACACGAACACAAAGCACGCCGGCCTCCGCTGCTCTCTAACAGGCGTTATTCCTCCCAGCTCGGCCGGCTCCGCTCTAACTCCGCACGTGTTACCGCTGCGCCCCGCCGGGGACCGCCGTTCCCCTCCGCTTCCCGCACCCGGGGGCCGCGGCCCGGCCGCCCGCCCTGCGCCCGCCGGGCCGGGAGGCCGCGGCCCCCGAGGGAGGC